TTATAGAGGAAGACACTAGGATTAAAAGAAACAATAAATTATTCTTGATTTTAAGAATTAATATGTTTAAAGGATCATTTTATCCGTTTAAAAATTATTTATGGGTTAAGGGAGATGATAAAATTAAAAAAAAAGTAATTAATGAATAGTTGATTTCTTAAAATGTCAATCAATTTGAAACAAAAATTTTCTTCTACAACGCCTAACAATATGAAACAGAGGGAGTAATGAGTTAACCAAAAATGAGTTAGAGAGTTCAACAATCTCTCAAATGCCATCACTCTATCTAAGCTCCAGACTTCTAACATTTTATATCTCTAGAGGAAAACTTTCACTCCTAATTCAGCTCATCAAGCCATGCCAACCGGCCACAAAAATTCTCAATCACTCTATATACGGAATTGGTCCAGCACTCTGCCAAGTCTGGGTCTCTCGTTCAGGGAAAGCTCGCCCATTCATAGCTTTCATATGATCCAAGCAGGTTTCAAACCAACCGCACTCTTTCTGGTCAACAATCTTTTTAAATTTCAACAACTATTGCAGGGGTGGTGAAATTGGTCTTGCTTACCAATTGTTTGATAACATAAATATATCTTGTAGAAAGAGTAAGGTTTTGTTTTAGAGTATTTTCTCAGTATTTTAGTTTTTAATTTTTATCATTTTTATTATTTTTAAAATATATAAAATTATTAAAATATATATTAAATATATTATATATATTTAAAATATTAAAAAGATAAAAAAAACTTACATCTACAATTACAATCCACTATCATCAAATTAAAACTTTATTTGACAATACTTCTTGGTATTTTAATTTTTAGCTTTTATATCTTTTTATTATTTTAAAATAATAAAAAATATTAATTAAGATAAATATTAAATACATTTTATATATTTTAAAGATATGAAAAAAAAAAAACTAACAACTACAATTGCGTGCTAACATTCACAAACTAAGCAGAAACCTAAATCTATTTTCATTTTTTTTTACTGTAAGAAACATGATTAATAAATTAGTATCTGTTCGAGTATCAGTTGAGAAATCAACTTAGTAATCATGTGCTGCGCTCCACCTTGTTTTCCACACAAAAAAACGTGACCACTTGACCACACAAGAAACGCAATCTATTTTCATTTTTAAATAATAGAAAATATATAATTCATGCTACAGATATAAAAGTTAGACCTGCAAATCAAAAATAGTAGAAAATCTTTCCTCGGATATCACTTTTAATTATATGCCTTATATGCCATAATTTTGTCCATTAGAAAGCTAAAATTCTCAAGAGTCTTATGATTTAGGACGAGCAAATATATGATAATCCACTGGTATTTTGCAATCCAAATGACAAAATATCAACCATTAGATATGCATTGGTTTGTCTTTACAATTAAAATTTTTTATCATCAGATGACTATCATTATACAATTTGATACACTTTAAACTAAAAAAAAAAAAAAAAAGTAAAAATGAGCTGTTTGGAAAACTAGCTCCAATTGTCACTTGACACGTCTTCTTTTGGTGTAAAATCCACCGGTTGTTCAATAACAGGAAAGCACCATTATGGTATTTCACTATATATGTTAATAATCTCCATATACATGTATAACTTATTCCCCAAGGGTACGGTCCCTTCTCCCACATTCTCAACCATGGGTAGGAAGAAGGTGAAGCATGAATTGATTTCCAATGAATCCGTTCGGAAAGTGACTTTCAGGAAAAGAAAGGCTGGTGTTCTGAAGAAACTAAGAGAGCTCACAACATTATGTGGGGTTCCTGCTTGTGCATTCATTTTCAGTACTTATGATGCGCAGCCAGATATCTGGCCTTCCTCTCTGGAGGCGCTTGACGTGCTCGAGCAATTCAAGAATCTGTCTCCCAAGAAACAAGGTAAGTATATGCTGAACCAAAAGGTTTTTCTTAGAAGAAGCATATTCAAATTGGAAGAAAAACTTGAGAAACAGAGAAAGAAAAACCAAGAGCTGGAGATTGAGCTGACTTTGGCAGGTTCCTTGCCGAGTGAAAGTGAGAGTTACATGAATGATGCAGAGCGTCTGGGGGAGATGGTTCGTGTTTTGGATGAAAAGATTAAGTCTGTTACTGATAAGATTGAGGCTAAAAAAGCATCTGACATCTAACTCGGTTGTTGTTGAGTATGAGAAGAAAATAAATTTGAGCATGGCTCTAACTAGACATTTTTCTAGAAACAATAGATGTTTCATGTCATTTCTTCTTATTGTGGCGTTGATTTGATCATGTTTGGCTCAGATATGTTATCTGAATATACTTTTTAGCTGATTGTTGAATAATTATCCCGTTTTGCTTTACATGAATAAATTATTTTCATTAATGATTGGTCTCAATGCATTATCTTCTACTTGTTTAGTGTCCTTAATTGTTTGAAACTGCACTATTTAGGGATTTGAATTGTTTGAACTTGGCATTAATTCTTTGTTGTCCAAATGAGTTATTATTGCTAATCATTAACTTTGGTTGGTTTTCCTTAAAAATTGTGAATCAATGTTCCCATGTTCCCCATAGATATTAATTTTTCATAAATAAGTTAGCTTCTTCTGTATTCTATTCTTAGTCAAAACCTAATGTCTAATGTTTCATGTCTCTGCCTCAATGTCTTATGTAATGTTTTGAGTTTGATTGCACAAAAATCATCTTTTTCACTGTGTTTGTTTGAAAGGAAGGCAAATGCAGGCGAGGAAAATGGAAAGAACGAAGGGAACTTTTTCCTTCCCTCTTTTACTCTTCATGTTTGGGAAAGTTTGGTACTGATACATAAAAAAGGAAGTAAGGGAAACCATTTTTGTGTTGCTTTTACTTTCCTTGTCTCTGCATTTCCAACACTTGAATTCCCATTCTTTTTTTTCTTTTTATTTTTTGAAAAAAATAAAAATAAAAACAGGGCATTCAGAATGAGGTTGGAGGTATAAATAGGGTTTGAATGGAAGCATCTCACCGAAATTATCAGTGTTCTATAGCTGAATCTTAGATACCCCTATTATCCAACATAACCTAGCACCTAAAAGCACTGTGACATTAACGAGCTGTAGAGAGCCGTTGGCCTAGCTAGGTACACTAGAAACCAGCTGCCAGTTGAGAGCCATTAGAGTCAGTACATTAAGAAAGGATCGATGAATTTGTATTCAACCTCCTTAGCCTCTCACTGACAACACTCATACATGACCTCACAGATTCTTGTTCTGCGCTAGTGGCTGCCGTTGGTGATGGTGCTTCAGGAGTGGTGGTTGTGGCTGCTGCATGCTGCCTGTCAGCTACCCTGCTTGGTTCAGAAGCAAAGGTCTCTCTTCCTCTTTCTTCCTCCTTCATCCTCATCCTCATCCTCTCAAACATAACCTGCATAGAAACAGGGCATTGTTATGAGTTATAACAGAACAAAAACCGAAAAAAGAGAGTATAGAACCATTTGAACATACAGTGATATGGAAGTATAGTACCTTGGTGGCTCTAGGCTCCAAGTACAGGGCATTGACCAAAACCATCAGAAGAAATCATAGAAGATTATAAGCTTAAAGCTCCCTGCTTTGCTTGAAAAACCCTGCTCCTTTGCCCCAGGACATGCCCCAACAGAGCCAACCTAATACTACAAGCCAATGCCCTGCAATAAACAGGGTATGTTTTGTTTTGCACCATTGGCGGAGCTCAGCTTTTGAAACATAAGAAGTTTAGTCCCTAAATTTTATTTCTATTATTTTTTATCCTAAATGGTTTTATTATCATTTTAGTTGTTTTTTATTATTGAATATTACTTTTAAGTGATAATGAGAAAGCCAAGGAAAATATAAATAATAAGAAAGTTGAAAAAATATTCAATATATCTTCTCTCACAAAATATTTATTAATAACATTTTGCTTTAATTTTTTTTATAGTGTTCTTTTATTCATTATATATGTTTATTTTGTTGCATTTGTATCACTTCATCAATAATTATTAATTTATAGTTACAAACTAGTAATTTTTTTTTATAATAATTTTTTTTAAATTTTCCTTTTATCCAACTTTTAAATTTACACACAAACACATTATTTTTTAATTAATATTTCATTTTAACCCAAGTTTTAGTCAATATTTTATTAATACCCCTAAAAATTATCTCTGACTTCACCACCGCATTGCACGATGCAGAAAGTTAAACTGTTGCCTAGCCAACACATAGCTCGAAACAAACGTAATGTAACCCACACACATAGGGATGGCAATTTTTCTCAATTTTCATGAGATTTTGTAGGGATCCTTGTCACGGGGTAGGACAAGATGGGGAGAAATATTGTTTCTCGCGAGGCAAAGATGGGGAGAATTTTTTTCTCATAAAATTTTGCAGGAAATTTTCCTCACCCCATGAGATCTTGTGAGGATCCCCGTCCTCAAAAAAATTAAAACAAATATAAATTAATTTTATTTTAAATTTAATTCACCTTTCAAACCCAAATCCAAATCTAAACCCAAATTCAAGTTTAAACTCAATTCAATCAAAATTAAATTTAATCCAATTGTAACCCAACTCAACCCAATCCATAAAAATTAACCCAACTCATTCCCCTATTTATATTTAACCCTAACCTTAATTCATTTCTCAATTTTCATTTTCACCTTCCCCGGTTTTCCCTCTCCTTCTATTATGCAACTCTACCTTCTGAATGCCCTCCATTCCATTGCCACCCTTCTACGATTCTACCCTTGCCCTTCTCAGTGCTTACCTTCTACCGCCCCTTATTTTCTTCTTTGCACCAGCCGAACCATCTCAGATCCCATTCCCTCCACTACATTGCTGGTTTGCTGCTGTCGAAGCCATCTGCCTATTGCTGCCAAACTGTCAAAGCCATCTACTTGCTGCTGCCAAATTGCCGAAGCCATTTGCGGTTCTGTTGCAGCCTTGCCCTTCTTGGTACTGATTTTTCAAAATATTGGTTTTTTTTTTATGTTGGTTTAATTTTTGCTTATGTTTTAGTTTAGCTTGGATTAATCTTTATTTATGTTTGGAACAACTTTGTTAATTGTTGGTTTAGTTATTTATGTTAAATTGATTTTTATTTATATTTGGACAGTTTATATTTAATTTTATATTTAAAAATTTTAGTTAATTGTATTTGAATTTTTAAAATTTTATTCATTATAATTGAATATTAATTAATTATATGTAAAAGACAAAAAAATTTATAATTTAATATTAATTGATGGGGAATGGGGACATGGGGCAAAATCTACCTCCCGTCAAAAATCCTCGCAGGGATCTCCATCCCCACCTTTCGTGGGGACGGGGAGGAACTCCCTGGCCCCACGGGGCCCGTTGACATCCCTAAATCGAAGAAAGCCTGCTTGCTTCATTACTTCATCAATCATTCTTTTTCTTTATGCCTTCAGCTGATAAGAACATGAAACAACAGCCGGCCATTTTCATACTGGTTCCACATTAATTTCATAGATGATTTGGAGCAGCTAGACTTGGCAAACGGGCGGGTTGGGTCTGGTTCGGGTCGGGTCAACTCGGGTGATGGGATATATGGGTTGAGTTATAAACTGGTTCTGGTTTGGAAAAATCCAACCCTAACCCGACCCTAACGGATTACGGGTTAACCCACGGGTTGACTTTATTTTCATTTTTTATAATTATTTTTCATTAATTTTATTATATACAAATAAAATTATGTATATCTAAATCTAATTAAAATATTGTCATTCATTAACACTAAATACTTTATAGTTTCAATCACAAACATTTAAATTAAAAAAAATAAAAAAATTATAAATAATTGTTAGGTTCTCTTTGCATTTTGATGATGATTTAAAACCATGATTCAAAAGAGTTTAATCTATTTTTGTGCTAAGTGTGCAGGAAAATTAATCCAAGATTTCTTATCTTTCCCCACGATTAGAATTAATTCATGTTCTCCTTGTTCAGAGTTCTGGGTTCGAACCAATTTAATTTGGTTCGAATCAATCCTGAACTTTTGTTTTTTGAAAATGGTTCGAACCATTATTTTTGGGTTCGAAGCAAAAATTCTGGAAGGATAAATTTTGACAGCTCATCTATCCGTTTATTCTTATTCTTAATGGGCCTTGGGGGAACCATTGTTTGAGCACTTTCCAAAGTCAAGTCAAAGTTAGTAGAATAAGGTGGA